TGCACACCGAGAGCAGTGCTGCCGGGTCCTTCATCTACTGTATACACACACACACCACACATGAGCCTGCACACCGAGAGCAGTGCTGCCGGACCCTCCATCTACTGTATACACACCCCCACCCCCACACATGAGCCTGCACACCGAGAGCAGTGCTGCTGGACCCTTCATCTACTCCTTATCTGCCCTCAACCTAATCCAGGAAGGAGGACTGGATAGCACCAGCTCTCAGTGTGCTCCCTCATTTCCTCAGAGCTTGTCTCAAACAATGACCCAGCAAACAAAGAACCACACTGACCCAAGTCCCCTAAGGAGCAGTAAGCAGGAGGCAGGGGAGAAGAGAAGCCGGAGTAACTGCAAGGCAGGAACGGCAATGGGGAGATGAAAGTACAAGCAAAAACCAACCAACAAAAATGCTTTCAAGTCTGAAATCCCAACACTTGAAGAACCCAGACCTTGAGGCCAACCTGAACCACAAAATGACTGACTTGTGGAACTGAGGCTCCAGGGGATGACAGAAGCCAGGCGTCACATACTGAGTAGTGCTTTTGTCAGTGACTAACCACATACACTGATGAGAGCAATTCTGTACGATAACTACAGTGTTGAAAACCTCCCATCACCCAGTGCCATCACAGCTGTCAAGGACGCCTAGCTCACCTGACTCAAATGTGTGGCAACCCACAGGAGCACCACTATAAGGACAGAACCCAGTAACTAACCCTGCATGCAATGCTTCACGATGATAAACAACCAGGCTATGGCAAGTGTCCATACTGTGTGTGTTATTCAAGAACACATCTTCTTATACATGGAAGAGACGGTTACTGTAAGTCCGGCTAGGGTGCACACCTGTAATCCCAGCACTGAGGAGTAGAAACAAGATAACGGGAGACCAGATTGAGCTCCATGAGACCCACAGCCTCTTCTCATGCACGGGGAAAACCATCCCTGTAAAGCCATGTGCGCAATGCTGGGATGCAGCTCAGTGTGCCTGCCGAGTGCACAGCCTGAATTCACTCCTAGTGCCTGCTGTGTGCACAGCCTGAATTCACTCCTAGTGTCTGCCGTGTGTACAGCCTGAATTTACTCCTAGTGCCTGCCATGCGCACAGCCTGAATTCACTCCTAGTGCCTGCCATGTGCACAGCCTGAATTTACTCCTAGTGCCTGCCATGCGCACAGCCTGAATTTACTCCTAGCAAAGATCTGAATCAAAACAAAACAGGTAGTATGCTGCTTCCCTAGGGACACTCTCAGGGACAGACAGAATCACTGTCTTTCTCGATGATTTTAATCTTACATTTTGTTCACCTTGAATCAAGAAGCAATAGTTCCACCATATATGCATCCCACCCAGCCCAGGCCCGTGGCTCATGGTCCTCTCTGGTCCTAGTTTCATGTAAGGACGCCATGGGGCTTCCACATGATGATGTGCCTCTCAGAACCCACTCCTTCCCAACACAGCCATGCCTAACTGGAGTTAACTCTCTGCAAAGAATGCCTTGGATGTTCTAGTACTATCCTTGAGTATGGAGCAGAAACATGTCTTCACTCATGAAACACGCCTAACACAGAGGACCGACAGGGTCTCCATGGTGTCAACAGCTGAGCAAAGCACAGGGATTAAGGGCATGGCTCAAGGTCCACATTAAAGTAAAGCCAGAGCGGCGCTCCTGCACCTGATCTGCAGGGCACAGCCCATGTGAGCATCAGAGCACTGTGGACAGAGCCAAGCCCTTCATCTGGCCTCCCTGGCCCACTGAGCCCCACGCACCCTGGAGCTCCTGCATTTTATCACAGGTGCTGTCCTCTACGCTGGTCAGACTGAACCTTTGCAGCACTCTACGTGAACCTTCTCTCTGACCTCCTGTTCTGAAAACAAACTGTGGCTCCAAGCTATAGGCTTCTTGAAAAGCTAGTGAGTCAGGATCCTACACTCAACATTTGAGTGCAGCCGACACAGGGCTGAGATGGAGGGGCAGGGTTCCTCAGAGCGTCTCATAAATCTTTCATGTAGAGGTCTGACGTCATCTGTTTGCCTAAAAACTCTCTTTACCCTCTTCACTAGGAAAACCTGGATCTTTGTCAGCTAGGGTTAAAAACAACCCCCTCCCCCACTCCCTACACTAAACTAGCTTTGCTCGAAACTAACTGGCACCCTCAAGTTGTGGGCTCTTCAGTACAAGTTGTGTTTTATAAAATACCACACATTTGGCACCATGTTACTTCTCTGTTGGCCTCCCAGTGTTTTTTTTTTGTTTTGTTTTTTGTTTTTTTTTTTTTTAAATGATAGCACATGTTTGAGTGCCATGTAGTTAAACCTAAAAGTATACTTAAGATGATAAAATAAATTTGGGGAAACGGCGGACAGACCCACTTACATTGAAGGAGGCTGGCTGTGCCTGTGGAACTCTGTCCTTACCTGCTTAATGACATAGTTAATCTCTTCAGAATTGAGGACAATCGTCTTGATGTCACTTGGCTTGCAGGGAGTGATTCCCCTATACAAGGGTGGTGTGTAGCACTTCATCGCAAATTTGAAGTCACTGACATGTCTTCTTTCCTCTAACAGATCTTCAAACTCATCCCACTTTTTGAGGTCTTTCTGTGAAGAAGGAAATGAAGGAAAGTGAGGTGCCCAGTGGGAGAGGAAGAATTACTCAGGCTTCCCTCTGCCCCAACTAACACTGAGCAACAACCACCAGTGTCCTAATCCCAGACTCAGACAAAGGGAGGTTGGCGCCATCACCATCTATAATTGTACTCAGTTACTGTTACTTGTTGTTATCAGACAGGGCTTTATGTAGCCCCACTTGGCCTTGAACTCTCTATGTACCAGAAGACAGCCTTGAACTATTGCTCGTCACCTCCACTTTCTTACGCCCTTATGCCCGAGTGCTGCGATTGTAGGTTGATGCCACTGGGAATGGTGAACAGGTGGTTTTGTTTTGTTGGAGCAGGTACTGAACCGAAGGCCTTCACATGCCTTACAGGCACCGCACCACTGAGCAGGTGGTCCACCAATCATCTTATTTCTGATTGCTAGCGTTGTGATCTCAGTACCACACCTACAACTCGTTTTGTCTGCCTCTAGTTAGCTTTAAAAAATAAAACACATATCAGAAACTCCAAACTAAGTTGGGTGTGTTGGTACAAGCCTATCTAGTCACTGCCCTTCAGAGGTGGGTAAAAACCATCATGGTTCAAGGCCAGCCCAGCCTACACAAGACTGTCTCAAAACAAAGTCAAATAAAACAAGGAGTCCCCTCCACCTCCCCCTGCTCGCTCCACCTCCCCCTGCTCAGCATTTGTGGGCCCAGCTTGTTGCCGTCCACCAAACCCTTGCTCTCCCTTCAGAAAGTACAGGGTCCTCTTACAACAGTGCTTCCTGACAAGTAATTAATAGTGGTGGTGATAGTGACCGCGGGGAGCTCTGCCAGCTGCTAAGTGCCCGGTCTATTCTGAGAGCTTGACACACTGAAGAGCAAGTGCCACTGCAAACTCCAAGCAGCTGCCCTCCATCCACAGGACTCCCGAGACGCAGTTACCTGCCTGCCGGTAACCTGCTGCCGGAGTTGGGCCCTCAACTCCGAAGCAGCAGAGACACAGCTTGGTGGGACCTGTGGCTTCCTACACAGATCGCCGTGGATGTTTACGGCATCATGCACACATGAAGTACTCACAGCACTACAGCCCAAAAGTGGTTTCTTCCTGGGTTTTTTTTTTTTTTTTTTTTTTTTTTTTTGGGTTTTTTGAGACAGGATTTCTCTGTGTAACCCTGGCTGTCCTGGAACTCACTCTGTAGACCAGGCTGGCCTTGAACTCAGAAATCCACCTGCCTCTGCCTCCCAAGTGCTGGGATTAAAGGCGTGCACCACCACTGCCCTGCCTGTTTGGTTTTTTCTGACAGCTATAGAAACATGTATGTCTTATTTAAAACCTGGGTCATGACGTGATACCATGTATAATTTTCCTTTCCTCTTCAGCCCTAGCCCTTTATAGTAAATACTGATTTAAAACAACTTAGTTGTTAAATAACTACCATGTTTCATAACATCTTCATTTTTTAATTACCAAACTGACTTCGACTCACTTAAAAATTCAGAAAGTGCAGGCAAAGTCCAATCCCCTCTACCCCCAAAATCTAACTTTATGTGTAATCCTCTAATGCGGACATTACTCTAAGGAATGCTTGTCCCTAAGCAAAGACCTGTGTCTCCACCAGACACACACTGAGACCGTCAACCTCATTTTTGTCCTTTACTCTTCTTTCATTATTATTTTGTCTTCCTCTGTTTAAATGTCATTAATCTCTCTGCAGCACACTCAGGTTGTATTCACTACTTGGAATTACATGAAAAGGTACAACTGTTCTTAAAGACAACCACACAGGATTCAGTGTGAGCCTTTGCTCTGGCTGGGCCAGCATCTGCTATTCTTCTTTCCCTTCCTCCAGTGGTTCTGAAATTTCCTGACTTTAGTACTGAATTCAGTGCTCTCTCATCAACAGCAATAGAAAGTCTACCTCCTTCCTCCGATTCAATGACTTTTAAACTGGAGAGTCCCCCCATCCCCACCCCCAAAAGTACACTGGCGTGTGGCTCACCTCCTCCAGCCTTCTTGGCCTTCCACAAATACTCACATATTCCACTGGATTTTGTTGCCCTTTGGTTTGTTTGGTTGGTTTTATGGTGCTACAGGTGAGGCCTGGGCTGCAGCATGCAGGCTAGACAAATGCACTCCCTCTGGGCCACTCCCCTTGCCCAGCCACAGCTGAGAACAGTCATGTGCTTCCAAATCCTCTGCCGGCTCTTCTCCCACCAGACTTCTCCAAAGCCTGCCCCACTGTTTGGCTCGGTTCTACAACCTGATTATTCTCCTGAGAGCTTAACTATTAATTGTCATCTCACCTACACCTTGGACATCACTCTCCCAACCCCCTCCATCCACAGGCCCCGCCCTCAGTGAGGCTACCCAACAGCCTGCACTCTAATCATAAATGGTGCCCTAGTCCATCCTCCTGCCTGCCATCGAAGACTTCTCAAAACACAGGTTGTTCTTTGCTTTTTAAAATACTTAAATGAGTTCCACCTACTTAGAATAAGGCCACGGTCATTTTCAGAGTCAGGGAAGACCTGCTATGCCCAGCCCCCTGTCTGCTTAAGATACAGCTCACTCACTGTTTACTCCCTGGTAAGTAAACTCACTGTGCTATGCTGCCACAGGAAGCCATGCTGGTATCCTTCTGACATGTAGGCATCTGTCTGGACCGTCCTGCTCCTCTCCTGTACCTGCTTCAGCATCATTCCCAAGAAGGCTTTCTGGAGCTCCCAGACTCACTGACGCTTGCCCAGACTCTGTGCCTGCTAGTCACATCTGCCACATGTGTGCCCACACAGTCTACGTGCATGTCTGTGCACGGTAACAACTATCCCAAAGGCAGGGCGGTATAGCATTACCACATTAGCATCTGGCTGTGTTGCTAAATGTAGCCACCCTAACATAACACACGCTTGTGCTTGTAAGACTGAAAAGCCTTCTTAAACTTTACAGTTTTCCTTAATAAAATAACAGCTTTATTAAGCTTGGGACTCAAGAAACTGCTATTACAAAATATAAGGGCAAGTGAGATCTTAGAACCTTCCCACTCATACATGCCCTTAGGAGTTAAAAAAGGCCGGGCGATGGTGGCGTACACCTTTAATCCCAGCACTTGGGAGGCAGAGGCAGGTGGATTTCTGAGTTCGAGGCCAGCCTGGTCTACAGAGTGAGTTCCAGGACAGCCAGGGCTACACAGAGAAATCCTGCCTCAAAAAACCAAAAAAAGGACAATGTCATCATTATTGGGAAACTCACTGAGGGTGGGATCCAAGACAACTATGAACCCAAATCCAGAGGACCAGGAGATGATGGATGGACGGACGGGATGGTAGGTCTGACAACTCTCCCACCCCCTGCCCACATCCCCTTGTTCCGTAGCCTCTATTGTCAAGTGCACATCTTTGTATGCACTCAAGTCAGCATGATGCCCACCCCCTGCCCCTATGCGAAGGATGACAGCATGCAGGAGCAGTACTTACTGCCAGCAAGCAACATCTGAATGGCTACTTACCCAAGAACACAGTGCAAATGCAAATCCGGTAGGGAAGTCTGGCTGACGCATGTTCCCCACCTCAGGTTGTCCCTTTGGCCCACCCAGAGCCTCCCTCTCACTACTTGCCTTCAACAAATGGCCTCTCAGAGCTCTCTGCACCAGGCCCCTTGCTATAGGCTGGAATACACAGTAACAGGGCAAGCAGACACTGCACAGAGAGAAACATGCCCTTCAGCAAAGACAGACAAGATCAGGTGGGAGTGACTCCACTGGAGGCAGTGTGCTGATCAGTGACCTCCAGTAGTGTTTTGGGCTTTGGCACTGTGTGACAAACGTACTCCCATCAAGGCCAGCTCATACCTTACCAGCAGTGGCCAAGATGCACAGCAGCACCACATGATACAGGAGTGCAACCTTCCCCTAAGGATAACCTCTAGAACAGAGATAACAGCGGTGTTCAGTAAATACTTAGGAAATGGTGCTTGGTAATACTTTATTTTATAGAAAATGTGTTTAAGTGTAATTTTAAGTGACTTAAACTTAATGGCTGTCTTACCAATAGGCTTACAAATACCACGAATCTTTAACAATCAGCCCTGGCCAGCCAGTACAATGACTGTTGTGACTCACCACAGAATCAGCTCAAGGAGATAACGTAGGCTGTTAATGAGGAAGTACTTCATACTGAGTGGTTCAGGCAATGTTTGCATTGGGTTCTTGATATTAAAAGAGTCAGCAAGCCAGGCAGTGGTGGCGCACGCCTTTAATCCCAGCACTTGGGAAGCAGAGGCAGGCAGATTTCTGAGTTCAAGGCCAGCCTGGTCTACGTAGTGAGTTCCAAGACAGCCAGGGCTACAAAGAGAAACCCTGTCTCGAAAAAACAGACAAACAAACAACAACAAAAGAGTCAGCAATGCAAAGTTCTGATCACAGAGGGGACCATGAACATTTTGAAGAAACAGCAAACACACTTCCTTCCTGTGAAATATAAAGCCATGGTGGTGAAACACAGAAAGCAAAACTAAACGGTGAATCAGAGCAGGAGCCCTTGTTAGGTCAGGTCAGTCTGAGATGGGATATACAAGTGCCTGGACCATTCATTGGACTCTTTTTTTTTTTTTTGGTTTTTCAAGACAGGGTTTCTCTGTATAGCCTTGGCTGTCCTGGAACTCACTCTGTAGACCAGGCTGGCCTCGAACTCAGAAATCCCCCTGCCTCTGCCTCCCAAGTTCTGGGATTAAAGGTGTGCGCCACCACTGCCTGGCGTTTCACTGGACTCTTAACAAGCAACCAAGGATCTGGATTGTGCATTTGGGGCACAGATATGGACACACACACACACAGTCTCTTTGGAAGAGTGCACTTCTAGCTAGCTTCAGATGCATCTTACCTGCCAATGACTTGCCAAATCCACATTCTCAGTCACACCCTCCTCTTTTGCTTGCTGTTTGGGTACCACATTCCTAACTCTACTTGGATGCCTCCCAAACATTTAGGATGTAACTGGTCCAGATCATGATAATCCACAGCTGACAATCTTACATCCTAGACTGAAACTGTTTTTCTACCTGACTAGACCTGTTCCTCCCCTGCATTTCCTATCATTGAGAGATCAGCCCAGCTGCCAAACCACAGGAACCCAAACGCCTAATTCAGACTGTCCCTACTTTCCTTAGGTCTTAGACACAACTGGTTCCCAGCGCCAAGGATCCTCTGCACTAAATATATGCACCAAAACCATCATGCTGTGTGCTGCCCAGCCTCTGTGCACCGGCCATCTGTCCTATGGTCTCCATGCCTATGAATCACACCTTCTCCAACCTCAGCTTCTTTAGAGTGAAAGATCTCACTAATGCAGACAACTATGCCAGAAGCCTAGTGGTTTTCTTAGACTTTCTAGAGCATAAATGCAGAGATTTAGTCCTCTGTAGAAGCCATGAGTACTCACGATATGTGAAATGAGACTTACTTGTTTTATGTATATGAGCACTGCAGCTGTCCTCAGACACACCAGAAGAGGGCATGGGATCCCACTGCAGATGGTTGTGAACCACCATGTGGGTGCTGGGAACTGAACTCAGGACCTCTGGAAGAGCGGTCAATGCTCTTAACCACTGAGGCACCTCTCAAACCCCAAAATATGTAGCCCAGGCTGACCTCAAACTCATCCTCCTGCCTCTGTCTCCTTCAGCCTTCTGCCTACTGGCATGCGACACCACAACCAGCGTGAAATTCTCGTAGACAACACCTTCTGCTTATGTTCTTAATGTTGTCTCCAGTCTTCTTCTTCATTCTCTACTCAGTCCCCCATGCCACCCCCCCCCACACACACACAAGGCCGTGATTTTCTTAGGTAACACTGCAGCAGTCCTCACCTCCCAGAAACTCAGATTTGGTGTCATCTTTTAGAAGCCTTCTCCAGTGCCCAAACCAGCCATACGTCTCTTCCCTTGACTCCAACAACATTCAGAGCATGCTTTAATCACTGCCCTTATTTACCCAACTTGGTTAGACTATGTGTTGACATTTACTATTTCCTGTGCACTTAGAGGCAAGGCAGTCTTTGAAACTGAGACTGAAAACTGGGAGACAGCAGGAACTAATGTTTGCATCATTACCAATATCTTAATATCTCTAAAGAATTGCAGATTAGACAGAGTATTGCACAACTAACACTGAGGTGGAGGAAGCCTGAAGTAGCCTACCATGGTCACCAGCTGTGCAGTCACAGACAAAAGCCAGAACCACTCTTATAGGCTACTGAGCCACGAGTGTATCGCCACATTGTGGTGGTGCACACCTTTAATTCCAGCACTGAGGCAGGTGGATCTCTTAGCAGAGTCTGAGGCCAAAATACAAAGCAAGTCCCAGACACCCTCAGCAACACAAAGTAAACTCTGTCTCAGAAAAATAAGAAGGAAAAAAAAGGCTGCCATCCAGCCTCAAAAGTGGAAATGTTCATGACCAAAATTTCATCATTAAAAAAAAGAAAAGAAAAGAAAAGAAACAACTCTTTTATTAACACATACAAGGAAAATTCCAATCAACACACAAACCCATTTAAAGGCCAAGAAGCTTCTCAAGTTAGAGCTATTGTAACAATCTTCTTTCCCGATGTGTCTGCTGTAGAACAACAAACTAAAGACAGTGAGGAACTGTGTGGTGAAGTCAGAGAGAGCTTCCAGCCTTAGGCTTTAAGGCTGCAGTTCATATTAATCATAAATCTAAACTTCTTAAGGAACTTACAAAGTTTGCCCACATTCCAAATGATGTTGTCCTAACCTCAAGGTAGCAGTATTCTCTTAGGAGGTTGTTTACTTTGCTCTTCTGTGGTTTTTCCTCTTTGACCTTTCTACACAAGCTAACACAACACTGGACTGAAATCAGAAGATGGTGTTAACTGGCATAGCATGGAAATATCCTTTGAAAGGCATTATTTGTCAAGAGTGGTGGTGTAGACTGTGACCCTGGCTTTCTGGAGGTGAGGGCATGAGGATTGCAAGATCCAGGAAGCCTGGCTCTTCAGAGCTAATGCCAAGCCAGAGTACAAGCCAAGAAGATCTTGTTTCAAAAATAAGATTTAAAAACAACATCAAAAAAAATTCTCAGAGGATGGAGAGATGGCAGAGGGGTTAAGAGTCATTCCTTTCCCAGTACCCACCTGGCAGCTCACAATTTGTAACTCAATTTCCAGAGCTGGCCTCTAATGCACCAGACACCACGTGGTGCACATAAAATAAAAATAAGCAAATTTCTCTCTCTCTCTCTCTCTCTCTCTCTCTCTCTCTCTCTCTCTCTCTCACACACACACACACACACACACACACACACACACCTCTCCACCTCCCCTGCCCCCCGGAATTGTGCAATCCCATCGAGTAAAAGGACACAAAGTTTCCACCTTGATAATTGCTCATGAATATTGTAAGTGACCAACACTCTGTTGGAAACCAAACCAGGCAAACCACCAATTAAAACCAGAAGAGGAAGGAAGGGGGTGGGGGTGGGGGTGTATAAGACAAGGTGGACCGAAACCAGTGCCAATGGGAATCCTATTCAGAAACTTGTGGAAACGTAACGAGTAGAAGACAGTAGTATCCTGAGGTTCCAAGTCTTCCTAAATTAAGAGGGTTATAAAACTCTACGTGTATATTGTAGCCGAATATTTCTCTCTCAGGAATACTTGAGGGAGAAGGGAAAAGGCGGGAGGTGGAGAGCCAAAAGTCTTCTCGGGCTGGGTCAGGACTAAGGTTACTCAACGGGCAGAATTCTGCCGACACATCCTCGGTGGACCGAGGAGGCTCCAATTCTCCCCTCATGTAGTTTGCGGGGGCTCCCGGCCTGATGGGGAGAAGGGACAGAGGAACCACCATGGATATAAACTTGTAAAAGCAGACACGTTAACCGAGGCGCAGACACATGGTTGCCGTGGATACCAAGCCAAGTACCCAAACCCTGTTCAGACGTGGGTCAGGACCCGCTCTCTGAGACAGGGTCGTGGGCTGGGGACATAGGGGTCGTGGGGTGGGGGACTGTCCTTCCCGCGATGTCGCCCTGGGCCTTGGTCCCCCAGGCGCCTACCGCATAGAGGAGCACACTGCTAGGGCTGGCAGAGCCGACCGAGAATCGGGAGCTGGAGGAGCTAGGAACGTCCATGGCGCGGTTGCCGTCCCGGGCGGGGCCTGGGCTGGTCTGCTACGCGGCCGTGGTGCAGCCGCTGGGGGCGGTTCTTTCGAACGGGGCGGCTCCCATCCGCCCAGGGTAGTGGCACTCCGTACGGCCACTGCACGGGACCCCGGGCACCGCCATCTTAACCAGGCCCGAGGCCGCGCAGGACCCGTGACGCACGCGCAGAAGCCGCGCCGGAAGCGGAAGTGGTGGGCTGTGTGCTGGATCCAGAGGTCCGTGCTGAATCCCATGGCGGCAGAGCGAGATTCGGACTCCACTGAGCCTCCCGGTTCTGAGGCGCTCCTGGACGCCGTGCTACGGACCCTCTACGACCTGGGTGAGCGTAGCTCCTGAGAGGAGGCGGCCAAAGGCAGCGAGACGCATCCCGAGGCGGCGGGACCACGGCCCACGTGGTGTTCTGGAGCCATGCCGGCCGGCTCTACCCTGAGGCGCCTCCCTCTCCGAGAGCTTCTCACCCACTTCTTGTCCGACCTTTCGCTCTCTCTATTCACTGTACAGGAAACAAAAATCAGAGCTGGTTACTAAAGGCATGCCACCCGCAAAAGGACAGGCACTGGTAGGCTGGAGAGCTCACGTAGATAGCCTGACTTTTAGAACCAGACACGTAGCAAACTATTATTTTGGAGCGGTTACTCGAAACCGCTCACTTACACGATTAAAAAAAAAAAAACTTAGAACTTGGAAGAACGTACCGGGTGTACATGCATTTTGTGTGTTTCCCTCATTAACAGTCAGAGCAACCCTTATACATAATAACCTTAAAGGTTCCCCTGAAGTGCTCGAGGTCTAGGGTCTCTGTCCACGGGGTGGAGGACAGACAACACTTGGCCTCCAGCTTTCACAAGTTTTAGGCTGATTTTTAAAGTCCTAGATACAGTTTATATCCGCATATGCCGGAATTTATTACAAGAGTTGCTCCAGTCACATAGACTCTACCTACTCTTTTATCTCCATACTGGCAGAGTTATATTGGCCACAAGCACATTTTTATTGAGTACACAGCTAGTGTTTTAGAAAGCTCTCGTGCCCAAACTATAGATCAGTAGTGAGGTTTAGAATTCTGGTTAAAATTTCAGATCACTGTTGAGAGTCTGAGCAGAAGAAACAAACTGAAGATGAGGAATTGAGTAGAAAGTAAAGGTATCCAAATTAAAGCAGTTTAGCTGGGTTCCCTTTAAATTTAAAACCGAAAGAAAGCAGGAAGAGCCCGGACATGTACCTGTAGCCCTGCAGTGTGGTAAAAAGAAATGCTGGCGTAGAGGCAAATGCTTTTAATACGGTCCTGGGAACTATGGCGTGGATGGCACCCAGTAAGCATGTGTGAGGACTAGCGTAATTGTATTACTGAAGACCAAAGATGTACACAGCTCTCTGGGAAGAAAGGCAGGAGTTTGATTTCAAAGAATGTTTTTTCAAGTTACATTATTTATGTGTGTGGGTATGTGTCACCTCCACCATGTGTAATGAGAAAACACTTACAGGAGTCAGTTCTCTCCTTCTACCATGTGGGTCTTGGGGATCAAACTGAAGTCATGAGACCTGGCCCCAAGCACTTTGTTTCTTTGTGTATATGAATGGATTCCTGTGTCTGGGCCGCATACGAGGTGGTATTCCTTGGTATTGGTATTAACTAGAACTAAGATAATTTTTTATTTTTATTTTTTTTAATGTTGAAACAAACAGGAGAGACAGAAGGTGAAACAGAGCAGAAAAGGATCAGAAAGAAGAGAGAAAAGAAGAGTAACTCTGAGGCGATAGTCAGTGTGGCAGCAGGGCCGCTTCCCCTGCCTGGATCACCTGTGAGAGGCCAGAGGAAGAGTGCTTCCAGCTTTTTCAAGGAGCTCAGAGAAGAGCTGCAGTCTGCTCCCGCTGCCCCTTCAGAAGTCCCTGCCACCGCTGCAGTCTCCCTCTCTCCCTTAAAGAACAACAGCAAGCTAGTGGAAGTGGTAGAGTTTCAAAGCAAAAGCAAAAAAAGAAAACCAAAGTCAGATGAGGATGAGCCGGCAAAGGTAACGGGTCAACTGGCTTATGCCTATGTGGTAAGGGTGCCGTGGTGAGCTTAGACTGTACCTGGGGCCCCAGGGCGACCTTCAGGCCCCGGCATTTGGTAAATGACTCACAGGACTCAGCATCTGGTTCTTACCCATCATGTGAGCCAACTGAGTAAGGTTGCCAAACCCGATTTCCCCAGAGGAAAAGTGGGCACTATAAATCTCGTTAGTGTGCATGCTCAGTGGGTAAACTCGTGACATTAGAACCTTGAGGCCTTAGGTATACGGAAACACTCTTGTCAGCCAAGTGTTGATTGCTCAGTACTTGGGAGGTAGCCATCTGCAAATCGAAGAGCCGAGGTTGGTCTTAAGAGTTGCAGGGCAGCCGGGCGGTGGTGGTGCACACCTTTGATCCCAGCACTTGGGAGGCAGAGACAGGTGGATTTCTGAGTTCGAGGCCAGCCTGGTCTACAGAGTGAGTTCCAGAACAGCCAGGACTACACAGAGAAACCTTGTCTCGGAAAAAAAAAAAATAAGAGTTACAGGGCTTGCCAGACATATGATTATACTTGTGATCCCAGCACTCGGGAGGAAACAGAAACAGGTGAGTCTCTGAATTCAGGGCCAGCCTGGTCTACATAGTGAGTCCCTGACCTCCCCAAAAGTAAAGGTTTCAGGCTTTGATAAAACCAGGCCTACTTAGCTACCTTCCTACCTAATAAGCCTTTGGTTGTCAGTGCTCAGGAGAAAACTAGTTCTCCCTGCCACTCCCGCTGTGCGCCAGCAGCTATTTTAGGACATAGCATTGTCACAGCTATTCTAGGACATAGCCAGTGCTGACCAAAATGTGCACCAGCCCTTGCTCGGAACTCACAGTCTGGTTGGAAAGTAACTTCCTGTGCATCACTTTCCTTCAGATAACTTGTAGATCTTACCTTTAAGTCAGTTTGTTAAGGTTACCCCCACAAATGGTCCTCTCTGCCCCCCATTTCCTTGCAACAAGAATATTCTAATGGATTTTTTTAATTCATTGCTAAAAGCCAGAGATGCCATTCTTTAGCCTTCCTCATGCCCCATAAACCTTTATCTATTTTGAAAAATGGGGTTTATCTCATTGTCTTAAGACAGCTGTTAGAGATTGCCTCAGAGCAACAGAGACTCACTACCAGTCTTTCAGTTGTAGAGGCCAGAAATCCAAAGCCGAGTATGGCGGGGCCTTCCAGGTCGCTAGGACTAGAGAAGTTTTCCTGCCTCTGACCAGGGAGGCTCTATGCACCCCATGGCGATGGTGGTGTAACTGCAGTCTCTGCCTTGCCTTTGCATGCTTGCTAATCCTATGGGTCTAAGCCTGTTCCTGTACCTGTCTCTCTCAGGGTACCTACCCATCATTGGTTTTAGGGCTTCTCCTAAATCCAGGATGTTCCTCACCCCCAGAGAACCTTAACTGCTCTCTAAGGTCCTTTCTGCAGATGAAGTCCCATAGGCAGGTTTCTGAGACTAGAGCATGACCATCAGGTCAGCCTTGTTCTTCATGGCTGTGTGAACATTCACCACATTCCTACTGTTTGGAGCAGCATTGCCCCGTGTGGTTTTCAGCCCCAGTGTTTTGTTTTTCCTTATTTGGGGGTTGTTTTGTTTATAAAAAAGGTTGGACAACCTTTTATGGAAACATTATGGATGGAAATGGAGAAGCTTGGGAATCAAAAACTGGAAGGAAAAAGTGTCGAGAAAAGGGAGAACAGATAGGTTCATTCCCAGTGACTGAGCCAGAGATGGATTTTCTTCTAGGTGGAGGAAAAGGAACTGTGTCCAAGGGCAGTCAAGTCACAGAAATGGGAAAGCAGGAGGGCAGTCAGATGAGACAGCCCTTTTCAGGGGACAGGGTTAAACTCACAGCACCCCTTGAGGACTGGCCGTCCTGGGTCAGAGAATCACCAACAGCATTCTCAGTAGTTACACAGCATATGCCTTCTAATGGGGATGAGCCACTAGTCCTGTAGAAAGAGGGGCCTAAGCTTTCTAAAGAGACGATGATGTTTTATGGGGTGCACGCCCCCTTTGGGAAACAAACTCTAAATAATTGGACTATTCAAAATGGAATTATTCCAAAAGACTGGAGGAGACTGCTAACAGCTATACTAGAGGCTGGTCCTCAGTCGCAATGGTTGTCATGGTGGAAAGAAGATGCCAGACCAGCCCTGACACTTCTTTCTGGTTCTCTCTTGAAGGTAGCTAAGGGGAAAGAGCTTAGCTGGGAGTAAGACTTGGACTTGAGAGATATTTAGAGTTGCTGTTTAGTAATAAAACTTACCTGTTGTTGGGAGCCGACTCTGAGCAGAAAGCTGCTATCATCTTTGCAGCCATCTTGAGCCATATACCCTGACAAGAGACTTGTTTTCAACAGCCTACAACAGCTGAGCACACTCTGACAATTATCTTGATCCTTTCAATCAAGGCCAGGCAGTGGTGGCACACGCCTTTAATCCCAGCACTTGAGAGACTCAAGGCGAGACTTGAGGAGAGATATAAAAGGAGAGACTTGAGGAGAGAACAGGGCAGACTGTCTCGTCTCCATTCTTCGCATCTCCATCCCCACTCTCTCTCTTGCTAGGCCCTGACCGCGGACTGGAGCAGCAGAACTGGCCGTTACAACCTGTCTTAAGTCTAAGTCACTTTTCTGTGGTAGCTGACCTGTTTGAGTTCCTCTAAGGCCGGAAAACTTGAGTCTCTGGTGTTTAGCACCTCATAGTAAAACAGAAAGGGATTAAGTAAAGTAGCCTTTGTTCTATCTCTGCAGGAACTGCATAGCTCTAACTCTCAGCCTGCTAGTTGAAGTCTCAGGAAGAAAAGGAGACACTTTGCAAAGAGACTTTAGCCTTTATTTCTAAGTTCTTCAGTTCTACAAAAAGTTTCTATAAAAGTTCTCCAAAGAGTTCTCCCTAAAAAGTTCTCTCTGCTCTCTTTGTCGAGTCTTGCTCTCTCCTCCTGTTATGGTGTTACAGTAATACTGTCTGTACTCTCAATGCTCTAACTCCCAGTGCCTTTACTCCCAATGCTGTGCCCACCAATGTAATCTTTCCTGGCCTTATGTACCTTTTCAAGGAAACTAGATCACATGGTTTATCCAAGCATCCTCCCCCCCTTTTTTAACCAAAGTTCATAGAAATTCAAACAAATTCAAACATAAATTGAAATAGAAGTTTACAACAGAGAATGTTTACACGCATGTCCATTAGGAGCAATTATCTGGCTAAGCATTCATTATCTGTTGCTAGCTCAATAGGTTCATTGAAAATTAAAAACTGTAATTTTTGTGAGTTATTACTGAGGTTTTATATAGGAAAACACAGTCAACATTTTAGCTCCTGTTCTTGCACCTATAGTAAATTGTTATTTCCCTTTTTATGACCTTTGATTGTTTTTCAACCTCTCGGGAAAGTGTTCTAAGTTGTAGGTGCCTGCTTGCTATCTCAGAAGCAATTAACTCATGACACTTGAAGATTGGCAGAGTCCTCATTGCAGTTTTTACATCAGTAAGGACTTAATAGCAGTCCTATCGTAAAAGATCTTACTAATTACTGATACAATTTTAAGAATTCTTATAGAATCATCAAGCATTAAATCTGCTTATCTGTATGCATCACTACAAGACAATACATATACATTGTTCTGCAGAAACCTGCTCAAAAGAGTGAGTTAATATCTAGCGATTGTTTTATATATAGGAAAAGCATATTAATAGCAGGAATCTTTCCTAACATGTAATCTTCTCAGCCTTGCCTAAAGAAGTGACACTCGTGGATTTACAGTCCATGGCAGAACCGTCTCAGGAAGATCACCTCTAGTTTTTAGCTTCTCTTAGATGGCTCCCAACAGGAAGATGCTAGGGATTTGGAGCAGCACACTGCAGTGAGGGACAAGTTGGTCGGTAGACATTGCTCTGGTGATATACAAGAACAATTTGAAGACTCAATCATGGAACAATGCTGTTTAGTAGCTTTTAAGAGCTTGGGACAAAGTTGAGGACCCAGGAAAGACGTCCACATCATTTATAAAATGTATACACGGCTCGGGGAAGCCTTCACTTATTTATTTTTTTAAACAAAGATTAGTTTCAGCTGTGAACAAAGCCCTGTCAGACTCTGATGTGAATGAAACAAGTGCTAATTGAAACCTTGGGGTTGGAAAACGCAAATATGGAATTCACAAAGGTTGTAGCGAGGGCAGCGCCTATGGAAGAGTGGATCCAGAAGACCGCTGACATTGATTCTAGTGTGTATAATGCCACCACGATTGGGCAAGCTGTAGCTGAAGGTTCAGGATCTCCAAATGCAGCGTTCTAACCGTGGGATATGTGGTCATTTGCAACAAAATTGTGAACAAAGGTCTCAGATCTCAAACAGAACTTTAACTGTGGGAAATAGGGTCATTTGCAACAAAATTGTGAACAAGCCATCTCTAAGGGCAATGGTTTTTCTAGATATAAACCAGAAAGAAGTCCTAGGTTTCTAGGGATGTGCAGATGGTGTTGCAAGGGTTGCCATTGGACCAGTGAATCCAAGAGAGATAGCCAAGGGCTGTTGGGAGAAAAATACTGGATAAAGTAGGTAGGCTAGCTCAAGGCCCTGCAGTACTAACAAGAACCTCAACCAAGTATTGCAGATCTACTGCGTGCTAATGCAGACATGCTGCTCTAGACTTGGCTAAAGATAAACGTCTTACACTAGCCCCAAAAATTCAGAGTTACAAAATGCCTACTGGAGTTTATGGTCCTTTACCCTCAAGAAAGGATGATCTTGGGAAGGAAGAGTTTGACTTCACAAGGATTCATTGTGTGTCCCAGAATTATAGGTGAGGATTTCTTTTTTTCTTTTGTTTTTGTTTGTTTGTTTGTTCTTTGAGACAGGGTTTCTCTGTGTAGTCCTGGCTGTCCTGGAACTCACTCTGTAGACCAGGCTGGCCTCGAACTCAGAAATCCGCCTGTCTCTGCCTCCCAAGTGCTGGGATTAAAGGCATGCACCACCACCGCTCAGCTAGGTGAGGATTTCAAAGGGGAAATTGAAGTAATGCTTATGTAAAAAAGAGAGATGCGGGTTAACATAGGATCACTCAGCTCTTGCTGTTTCCCCATATCAAGGGCAAAGCTGCTCAGCCATAAGACCGGGAGGGTTTGTGTTTTGCTGAAGAGTTGTTAATGATAGGAACGCCAAAATTAAAGTTGCAAGTGAATGACGTTGACACAGAAAGTCTGGTGGATATGAGCTGTATTCTATTATCATTTCACAAAAACGGTCAAAGGTTCAGGAAACAGTGTTCACATCACAGGCAAGAAGAGAAACATTGCTGTTAGGTTCTCTCAGCAGACATCTGTGAACCCTGGAAGGAATGGAGAAGCAAAACTGACAACAGTAGCATGGCTACAGGGACACCCAGGGCAGCTTCAAGGATGCAGACTTAGAAGCCACAGCAAATGAGGAGTGTAGTGGGATTTATCTGGTGTGCCTGGGCTTTTAAAGGATCCCTAGTTGCTAGCCAACTGGCCCTTTAAGAATTCTTAGCTCTTGGAACTGCTTGACTCTATGACCTACAGTGTTGGTTGCCTCTTGAATTTCTGGCAGCCAGATAGAAAATTTAAAAGGCGAGCTGAGGTTTCGAAAGGGGATTGGGTTAGCCGAGTGAGAGGAGAAGCCAGTTGGTGCAGAAAATGTTGTTAGGAGACAGCTGCTCCAGGAGAGGCTGAGCTGAACAGAGAGGCTACAACCTTCGTTATAGTTTGGAGCTGTTAGTGTTGGGAAAACTGGGAGAAGGGTCTGCCGGGGATCCGAGGGAGGAATAGTTGGGAGAAATGTTTGAAGGGGCTGGGCTGGAAACTGGGAGAAACAGTTGGGAAATGAATTAGATTCAGATCCCGCTCCCTGGCTCTCTTCCCCCCCCCCCCCCCATATTTCTTTCTCTCCTATCTTAGAGGAGTTAGAGAGTAGAACCAGGCTATCATGGGCGGGGAAAAGAAGAGCCCCCCAAGTAGCACAGAGTAGGCAGAGTTGATCTGATTCGTGTTTGTAGGATGCTGACCCTGGGTGGCAGATGATCATAACCCACGAAGTGAGTGATGGCTTCCACTCAGCATTCTGGGTTTGAAATGGGGTGACCTAGACTGGAGCTTAAGTGGGAGTGCAGCTCCTGAGAGGAAGGACTTCTTGGGCTCTTAAGCAGTGCCTGTGTCCATTCAGGTGGCACGTGGCTCCTAGTGCAGAGTCGGTGAGGGTGAGGGTGTCCCCCGAGCCCCTCGCAGGCAGCATGGTTTCCACTGTCACTGCTCTAGGGATCAGAGTCCCCTTGATGACCTGGATGGAGAGGACCAACGCAGGGCATGGCTGTGTGCGCCCTCAGGTGGGTCTCTGAGTTCAGGGACAGCCTGGGCTACATAGAGAGATAAAAGATGGAAGAGCATTATCCTAGGCTCTGCTCTAGGAGCTGCCCCTGCCGTTGGCATTGCTCCCCATGTGCCCGTGCCTGCCTCACTGAATCCCCAGCACACACACTTGCACACATACACATGCGCACACACATGCACAGACACATGCATGCACATGTGCGAGCACACCAGTTTCTGGGCACAGAGGAGCCGGGTACCGCAGAGGTTATATTGCTGCTCTGCAGTTAAGTGCACTTTCCACACGCATGTGCCACACAGTACTCAGCGCCTGTCAGCACAACTTTACAGGGCGTGGTTTTTAAGATTGATGCACATTTATTTACCAGACAAACCTCATCAGCAATCACTTGTTTCCCCGTTTGCCACAAACTACAGATTGTGGTTTATTTCTCTGATGTTGGGGTGGGACAGAGGCCATGCACATACCAGGCATGTCTCTCTGCATGTGCCCCCGCTGTAATGGAGGTGTGTGCTGATGGGACCCGTGCCTCTCAGTGTGCAGCATCATCGGCCGAACCTGACCACCTTGATCCTGGCCGTTCAGATACAGGGCCGTGGATCAGTGTAAGCAGCAAGGTCGGTTCTGTCCCCAGCTTCTCTGGCTTCCAGGCTGTGTACTTACTTGCTGCTTGGGAGATAGACTACAGGATATGTGGGTTCTTTGGCATTTGATAAGACTAGTGGGAGGAGTCAGAGGCATCACCAGACCTGAGGACGCCTCCCCAGGTCATTGCCAAAAAGCCCTGACAGCAGAGTGCTTATCCAGCACACCTCTTTATTCTGAACTCCTGTGGGGTCCAGTGTTAGGAAGAGTCATCTGACTGATTGACTTTACACTGGCCAGAGTGAGCAGGCCTTATCCTGATTGTTTATTATATTATTAACTTGTGCAGGTGGTAGTGGGTAACTACGGCCCATATAGATCGAGATCAGAGGGCAGCTCAGGAGACAGCTCTCTCCTTTCTCCACAACAGACTCAGAGAATAAACCCAGGTCACTGGACTCTGTGGAAAGTAACTTACCAAAGCCGAGTCAGCTCATTACTCCACTGATAACTTTTTCTTTTCTTAGGGACTAGTGTTGCTTGCTTTTGTTTCCAAGGCACAGTCTCACTATGTACCTCTGATTATCTTGGAACTCATTATATATATAGACCAACTAATCTGGAACTCTCAGAGATCCTCCTGCCTCTGCCTCCCGAATTCTGGGATTAAAGGTGTACAGTTACGCTGGCAATTTTGTCTCTTAAACCCAAGCCACATAGAAGAACATGACGTGGAGCAAGTCAGCGGGCCACAGGCAGGCTCACTGAGCCAGGAGCTCAGCTCGCATGTGGAGAAGCACTGTGATTGGATACCCTGCAGGACAGGGATTGTGCCCTGGGAAAGCAAGACTGCCACTTTGGCTGGCCCCATCATCCACCAGGGGTCCAACATCTTTTCTAGAGGCTGCATGGAATTTACAGCTCTTCCGTTGCTGTGACAGATAGGGCCTGGGATTGGATGGTGACTATTGTTGGTCAAATGTTTCTGTCTTTAACAGTCATCTCCATAGGTCTCAAGCATCTGGAGAGTCTTCTGCTTTCTCTCTTAAATGCCAGATTCCTTTCTGGGATGGGGCACTACTTGCCTCTGTGACTGGTCTGTTTCACAGTACACTCGTGTTCTTTATGACATGATGGGATGTATGTATGTCATGTTCTGCTCTTTTCTTTGTTGTGTGTTAGCACTTTATTTAGTGCTAACCTCTTATGTACGAGGTGAGGTTAGCACTCTGCCACTGAGCTACACCCCACCCCAGGGTTTCCCCTTTAGAAGCTGAATATAAACCACATTTTAACCTGTTCATCTGTCAGCACTCATCTGGGTTGCCCTTGTGGCTGTTGTGAACATTGGTGTACAGGTACCTTTGTAAGCCCCTGGCAGAGCGGAACAGCATAGTTGTGTGTATGCTTTGTCTTTCTGTTCTGAGGAGGTGACACACTTTGTCCATCGCGGTTGCCCCGTTTAGTATTTCTCAGCATCTTCGCCAGTATTTGTTATTTTCTGTTTTGTTCTTTGAGGGAATGGGTATTTTGTTTTATCTTTATTTTATACACATATATAATAATTGTTGGGTTGTTTGTTTTGAGACAAGGTTTCATGGTGTAGCCTCAAAGGAGCCAGACTGGCCTCAAAGGAGTAGCCACTTCCCTGCCTCTTTTCTCCTGGGATTACAGGTGTGTGCTGCTGTACCTGGCTAATTGGTAGTTTCTAATGTGAATTTGTTTTCTTTGCAGAATAAAATAAAGGTCCTTGAAAATGATGTGGGTATACAGGAATTTAACCTAGAAAAGGTAAGCATTTGAGGTAACTTTTTAGTTCCTCCTTCAGGCTTTCATTAGAGTTTATTATGAACTGGCAGCTTTAATGCAGCTCCGCCTTCTGCATAGTCTTGCAGTGGTCATGTGACTGACTGCTAGTCACTTCCCAGCACCAGGGTTGTCTAGTGCCATGCAGTGACACAGTGGTAAGTTAGAGAGGCAGGGACATGTGTCCACGGTGCCTCAGGTTTCTAAGATGTCTGAGAAAAGGGCAGAAGGGAGTCAGCCACTGAGACTGGCCACTGCTAACTGCCTCTTCCGAAAACAGTTGCTCCTGACCTGCTGTGAGCAGCATGGCACCAGGCTGGTAGAGAGCATCCAGTCAGAGTACAGGGTGCTACCTGAATCCCAGCTGTGAGGGTGAACAAGGAGGCAGCACTGAAAGAGAGAGCCTGGTGGTTTCCTCAGCCACAGCAGCTCTGTGGGGCCAGTGTGGCTGAGAGGCTGTGTGGGAGTGGCTGACACAGGCTCTGACTTGTGCATCTACAGGCTCGTCTGGAAGTGCACCGCTTTGGGATCACAGGCTATGGCAAAGGGAAAGAAAGAGTCCTGGAACGTGAGCGGGCTATCATGCTGGGGGCTAAGGTGAGAGGCTGTCACTGTGTCCAGGCCTAGGGAAGGGACAGCCCAGGGGCCCTGGGACTGGTCTTTTTATTATTGCAGAGTAGAAACTGATGATGTCTTTATTCCTTCCTTTCAGCCTCCCAAAAATACTTACGTGAACTACAAGGTTTTGCAGAAACAAATCAAAGAGAAGAAGACCGCAGCGGAAGAAGAAGAAAGAGCGGTAGGTGTGGTCCGGCTGCCTCAGGTCGGGCTGCCTGCTGGCGCTCCCTCACAGCTTGCCCAGCAGTCAGGACACCAGCACTGCCCCATAGGTGCCCTCTCCACCCGGGTTATTTCAGCCAAGCTTCATCTGGCCAGCTGAGGCATCTGGCCCAGCCATGGGTAAGGCAAGGCTGGCCTTGAGGCAGTGGCGTTGGCATCGCCACAGTGTCTGTCGGTTGGTGCCAAGCTGTTGTTGCCCAAGGAAGCCCTGTCCTCCACGGGTCATGGCAGTGAGGGAAGCTACAACCAAGCTCTTGGGTTTTTGTGAAAGAGTCTCACTCTGTAGCCCAAGCTGGCTTAGAGTTATCAGTCTCATGCCTCTGCTTTCTGAGTAGACTCACATGTATGCTCCACCAGACCCCGTCACAGGGTTCAAGGTGAGACTTTGTGGTTGATGCTTTTTTTATGTATGTATTTTATGTATATGAGTGCTGTATTTGCATATAAACCTGCACAACAGAAGAGAGCATCGGATAAAAAAAAAGAGCTTCAGATCCCATGGGAATACAATTACAGATGGTTGTGAGCCACCATGTGGGTGCTGGGAGTTGAACTCAGGACCTCTAGAAGAGCAGCCAGTGCTCTTAACTGGTAAGCCATCTCTGCAGCCCCTGGTTTATGTTTACTGTACCAACTTGAAGATATTTTAAGTACATGGCATTCATATGGCTTTTTGTCACAAGCACATTGCTGTATTTTTGAGTATTCACGATCCATTACTTTTTTTTGTTTTGTTTTTTTTGTTTTGGTTTTTTTAAGACAGGGTTTCTCTGTGTAGCCCTGGCTGTTCTGGAACTCACTCTGTAGACCAGGCTAGCCTCGAACTCGCGAACTCAGAAATCCACCTGCCTCTACTCCCACGTGCTGGGATTAAAGGCCCACCTGCCCGGCTTTCACTATCCATTACTGACATACTATCTTAAATTGTAATATAGGCACGGGAGACAGACATCTTCAAGAGAAAGAAGAGGAAAGGGAGAGAACAGGGGGACAGGTGAGTAGTGGCAGTTACTGGGTTGTCACTGGCCACACCTTGTGCTTGGTTCCCTCACGGTGGCTTGAGTGTGCAGCACCCCAGCCCTCAGCCTGGCAGGTGTGGTCACTCCAAGGAGGCCTTGTCCCCCAAGGGGCAGTGAGGGAAGCCCCAACTGTGTAAACAGATCACCTTCAGTGCTGGTGAGTCCTGTGGAGAGGACGCAGAGGAGCTTGGAGAACTCTGTGGGAGTGAGCCAAGGGTCATTTCATTGCGGTGACATCTGTCAGGAATGGAGTGGAGAGGAAAGGTCACCCTGGCTGTAGTGTTCCACACCTTGCTGAAGTTGGTGTGGCACTGCTTTTTGCTCTAACTGCTTGGCATCTTTCTCTCACTTTCAACGCAGAAGACCCAAGAAGTCGGCTCCCAGCATTCTGTCAAGTGGACGGGCTGGACAAGTTGGAAAATTCAGAAATGGGACATTGATTCTAAGCCCCACTGATATCAAGAAAATCAACTCTTCCAGGGTAGCTAAATGAAGTTCCTTCAGCTCCAGAGAGGAGCGGGAACAGTGGCAGCATGTGGGACGGATACAGGACCCCTAATCCTGAGGCTGCCCATTCTTGTTCCACAGAGTCTTTCTCATTTGAGCAGAGAGTCTGTGTACAGCAACCCTGCTGAGTGCCCGGGCTCCCCTCCCTCGTGCTGCACGCATACACATACCTGTGCATACAGCAGGCAGAGACCCCGCTGAGTGCTGGGCTGTGCCCAGGCTCCCCTCCTGTTGTAGGTTGCTGGTGTCGGCACACTGGTCACACTCTACTGTTTCATAATTTTACTGACTCCAAGTGTCTGTGAATTACGCTGAAGTGCCTTTGGACTCATGAAGCCACTAAGCGCATTTGTTATCCATTGGTTCTGTAAGAAATCGATCTGTTGTCAGCCTGCCACACTGTAAATCCACTTTGTAAGAATTTCCAAAAATGCACCTCTGTAGTGTGAGTGACTGGCTGTTAAGTAACACACAGGCAGTTCTAACTGGTCCCCCACACCTACTTGGAGCTGTAACCTCACAAGGCCATTTTACAGTGATGCTACCCCTGCCTGGATGTCAGCGTCTCCTCAGAGCCTGAGGTGCATTAAAGGAACGTGTCCAGTGACAGGGACAGTTCTGGCATTTCCCACCCTGGGAGTTCCTTGTCCGACAAGCAGTGCAGCACAGGCCTGAAAGCCGTCAGACTGTGGCCAGCTGTTAGGACGTCGTCAGGATGCTCTGAGAGCATTGCCAAGCATCTCACAAGACAGAATCCAGTGTGCTGGGTAACTTTAAATGATTTTTTTTTTCTAAAGCTCATTGATTTATAAGTAAGGGCACATGGGCCACAGTGTTTGTGTGGAAGTCATGGGGTCTGGTTTTCCCAGCATGCCAGTCTCAGGAATTGAATTTGGGTGTCAGGCTTGGCAGCAAGCACCTTCACCTGCTCATCCCCCTACCCCCACCCCACTAGCCCAACTTAAAAGATCTTAACAGGACAGCACTGGGGAGAGAGATCTCAGGGCATGAGAGGAGCTATGGAAGGTCTGCACCAGCCAGCTCCATCTTCTCAAGGAGAGTCTGGTGGACAAGGAGTACCACCGCTGTGAGCCGTCCAGGCTTAGTCAGCTGAGGACTGACAGCTTGGCCAGGGTCCCTGTATAAATAACTAGCTTTGGTTTCTTTCTAATGTATTGTACAAATATTTGTGCTCAACCCTTAAGAAAGGCAGAGAAGTCTACTGTGTGAATACTTAAAGCTCGGTGTACTTACCACCAAGTATTCGAAAAACATTTCATAGGACAGAATGATCCACGAACAAACAGCTCTGTGTTCTGAGTCCAGAGGATCAAGCGGAAGTCCATACTCTTGATAAAGATCCTGATGGGGCCTCCAGCAAAATTTGCTACAGCGGTGGCTCTCAGCCTGTGGGTGGCGCTTATCAGATATTTACAGTACAGTTTATGACAATGGAAAAATTATAGTTCTGAGATAGCAATGCAGTAGTTGTGTGGTTGGGGGTCACCACACCATGAGGATCTGTATTAAAGGGTCACAGCATTAGGAAGGTGGAAAACTGCTGCTCTGTGGGGGGAAAGCCGACAAGGGAAACGGGCCGGCCTGAGTTCTTGCTCTAGCCACAGTACAGCCCCTGCCTTCAGTCACCTCAGGGTTTGGCCCATGCAGCTATGCAGGACACATGACACAGGCAGGGCTTGCTGAGAGGGACGTGGCCTGCACAGGAAACTCCCTGTGACCAGGAAAGAACTGCAGCCTGAGTCCTGACTGAGCCCCCAGAAAGTGGTCAGGCTCCCGTGGATGGCCAAGTGCCTGTAGACGATGCTGTCCCAACCAACACTGACTTGGATGGACATGGTGAAGGAGCACTGTCTAATACTGAATCCTCAGATGGATGGGAAGCGGACATTGCCCTGACTCCACCTGTCACACTCCCACAGCCAGAGCAGCACCTGGCCCCAATGCTTGCTGGGAGTCATGTGACTGCCTGTAACTGCTGACTTCTCCCCCTCTGCATAATCCACCTGTCTCCTCAGCTTAGGTCTTTTCTGGAATCCACACTACTCTTGTATCCTACTATACTACCCCATAATCCACAGTTATGATTTGTACATGCTTGGCCCAGGGAGTGGCACTGTTAGAAGGTGTGGCCTTGTTGGGATAGGTGTGTCACTGTGGGTGTGGGCTGTGAGACCCTCATCCTAGCTGCCTGGAAGGCAATATTCTGATAGCAGCCTTCAGATGAAGATGTAGAACTCTCAGCTCCTCCTGCACCATGCCTGCCTGGATGCTTACCATGCTCCTGCCTTGATGATAATGGACTGAACCTCTCAACCTGTAAGCCAGTCCCAATTAAATGTTGTCCTTTGTAAGAGTTGCCTTGGTCATGGTGTCTGTTCACAGTAAAACCCTAACTAGGACACAGCAAGCGTTTGTATCCACCACAGCCTTGAACTCCTCCACAGTACTCCTCTTGTATCCTGCACCATACCAACTCATGACCATCCTTGCATGTTCATGTATGTGCATACATATGTTCACATTTGTGCACATGTGGAGGAGACTTGGAGGATAGCCTCAGCTGCCATTCCCTAGGTACTATCTACCTTGCTGTTTGGTTTTAAGTTTGTGTATAGGTGTTTCTACCTGCCACATATGTCTGTGTACCCCTTGCATGCTTGATGTCCAGGGAGGGCAGAGAAGGGTGATGGAGCCCATGGAACTGGAAGCACAGATGGTTGTGAGCCACCACGTGGGTGCTGGGACCGGGACTCCGAGTGACCAGTGCTCTCACTGCTGAACTCTCCAGTTCCCCACCTTGCATTTTGAGATTGCCTCGCAGTTAGAGCTAAGGAAGTAGGGTAGGCTGGCAAGCTGGTGAGCCTCAGGGCCCTACATGTGTCTCTCCAGCGGGAGGATTCAAGCTCTGGCCTGTTGCTTCTCTTCCTCTTCCTCCTTCAGCTTGAAGGTGAGTTTACTAAGAGGAAAACCAGTAGGGCAGGCAAACTGAAAACCTTGGCTGCTGCTGCACGCAGGGCACTGGATAAGAGGGAGAGGGAGTCGTGCCTTGTGAGTTAGGGTCCTGGAAAGCGGGCACATTCTATAATAGAGGTCAGGAGTCAGCCCCATGGGTCAGGGTAGCTGGTCCTTCAGAGGGTGAGAAAGCCCAGAGGGTTTTAGCACGCTTAGGATACTGACTGGTATCACACTTCTTGAGTTAGAACTCAGGAAAGCGGGCAGGCTAAACTGAAGCTCTCCAGGCGGCTGCCCCATCACGTTTTTTAAATGTGAGTCGTAAGGACTAGAACTATGGTCCTTATGCTTGCATGGCTTGCACACTGCCTGAGCTATTACCACAGCCCCTTCCTGGTCACCTCTTATTAGTCAGAAGGCATGTGGCCATGACCAGTGTCCCCGTGTCCAGGGCTAGTAGTCACTGTGATTATGTGGACATATATAAGTAAGACACAGGCAGTCCTGAAAGACACTGAATCTGTTGAGGGGCTCCTCAGCTTTCTTCAATGAGAAATTCTCAGCCCTTAGAGATGAAGGAAATTTGTAATTACTACGTAGCTGTAGCCTTTAGCTATTATTTAGCTAAACAGGCTCAGCTTCAATCAGAAACAGTCAAGGTTCAATCAAAGTCAGTCTAGTGTACATAGGGGATTCCAGACCATCAAGGGTTACACAGTGAGCCCCTGTCTCAAAAAAGTAAAATTTTAAAGTCTCACAGCACAAGGAAGGACATTCCAGGCAGATGTGATGCGCCGGTCCACACCGCTGAAGGACATGTGTTATCCCTGATGCTAAGCTTGGAATGCTTTCTCAGAGCTGTCCTGGAGCCCAGGTCAGGTCTTCATGGATTTACCTCTTGTTTCCAAGACTGGGTGTCACCATCTGGAACAGGCTGGTCTTGAGCTTGCGCCTGCCTCAGCCTCTCAAGTGCTGATGTCACAAGTGTACCACTGTACCTGGCTTAACCCTATCAGGACCCTTACATATCCCCAGTCTTCTTGACTTCTGTAAAAATGAGTCTGTGATGAGAGAGCTGCCTCAGGTGGTAGAGCTTGCCATAGAAGCATGAGGACCTTTGTGTGAGCCATGGAGCCTACATGGAGAACGGTGCACTAAGGATTCCAGCAGTGTGGAGGCAGAGACAGAGAGAGTCCTGGGGCTTCTTGCCTAGCCAGTCTAGCTGGATTTTCAAGTGCTAGAACCATTCAGACAGACAGACAGACAGACAGACAGACAGACCTGTCTCTTGGGCAGTGGTGGTGCATACCTTTGAGCCCAGCTCTTGGGAGGCAGAGGCAGGCAGATCTCTGTGGGCTCCAGGCCAGCCTAGTCTACAGAGCAAGTTCTGGAACAGCCAAGGCTACACAGAGAAACCCTGTCTTGGAAAAAAAAATTTTTAAAGGACCCATCTCAAAAAATAAAAGTGGACATGATCAGAAGAACACTTGAGGTGACCTACAACTTCCACATATATGCACGCGCACGTGTGTACACACACACAAACACATTTTTAAATGGAACTATAATTTCACCATGGAAAATAGTGCTTTGTAATTTGAAACCACATCTTTTACTTTGAGTTTTAAGAGCTGACCAAGTAGTCAGGCAGGGTCAGTCTGTGGTCAGAAGTGGCCCCTCAGAGACCACAGAGCACATCTGTCTTCCAGTTGTTGGCAGTGTCAAAAGAATTTATTTCAAATCTGTTTAAGAATGTGGTAAAACTCAAGTTTTCCAAAAAAGTAATACAGGAAGTTCAACCAACCCCCAAGGACCAGAAAACACAGTGTTTGCAATTCAAAAAATACAAACGCTTGTGGATAGCTATACAAAAATTAGAAAAAAATTACTTTCCTTACCACTGCCCTCCCACCCCTCCATGTTTTCAGTGAGACATATACAGCCACAGGACCAAGAGCTGCCATCAAATACCAACCACTGGGGGACAGAATCGATTCCGTAGGGGGAGTGGGGAGAGAAGGCAAGGAGAGGGCGGGGGAAACGGGCCAAACAACGGTACACAGCTTTCTGTTTCTGTTAAATTCCTTCGCCAACATTATACAAACACCATTCATGCTCAGTGCCGTGCAGTGCAAAGGCGGCGATTCTACATCATGCATTCATGTTTTCTGGTGCGTCTACACCCCACTCTCCGCTGGGGCTGAGAAAGTGGGGTGCTTCGGAAGTCCAGTCTCCTGGGGCTTGGGGTGGGAAGGGCCACCGCAGGCCATTCCTGTAGCTCCGGCAGCTTTCTCAGGGCCTGTGTAGCCTCTGCTCACAGCTGTGCCCAGTGGTGCCCAGGGCCTCCCTCTAGCCCTCCGACTTTAGGAGATCTCCCAGAGTTGAGTTGACAGAGCTCGCAGTGAGCATCACCACTCCAGGAAAACATTTCACCTAGAACAGGGTCCCAGCTCCTCCCACTGAGTTCAGCCCTGCTCGTGGAGGTCAGGCTGCCACCCTTCTTAGCTTACGCCAGGAGATCCTGGCAGCAGTCAGTCGTCTAAAATTGACTTGTGACCAGCCATCCCCTCGAGGTCCTAGTTCAGCAGCATGTCATAACGCTCTCAGGTGACTTCCAAAGCCATCCTCACTGTTGGAAAACAAAAGTCAAATGCCATGGGTCGGGGAATTCCTAGAGACCAGAACTGAAGGAACAGGATGCAAAAGGCTGGCTAATATATGTTCTTGGCTTAGGGGATACCACATGCAGACACCTTTAGCACTCAGGAGCAGGCTGCTGACAGGTTTGGCCCATCCAAGGCCCTGGAACATTACACTAACCCAGGCCCTCCGCTAATGAAGTGTACTTGCTGTGGTCATGTGTGAACTGTCTGAAATGCCAGGCAGCAATGTGAAAAATTCTGCCCTGGTCACAGGAAGCTTGGGTGAAGATACCGTGGTGAGAGGACACTAACATCACCCAGGTTAGATCCACTGAATGAGCCACTGAGCCTGGACCTTATTGTTGAGACTGTTCCATGACCCACTCAATACAGAGAGGAAGGAGGTAGGTTGGTATGACCAGTCCTCTTGCAGGTAGGGATATTGAGGCACAGAACAGTTAGGAGATTCGTCCCACGCATGCCATGAGCCAACACCAAAGCCAGCTTAAGAGGTAAGCGGTGAGGGATACTCTGCACTCTGGTCTCTGGTCATACCTCAAGCCTCTTTACCTCAGCTTCCCTCGTCACCTCTTTCCCTTAGCTGTCAGGACCCCCTTCAGCCAGGAGCCCATACCAGACTGGCAGTTATAACCTGCTTTTCCTGGGGTACCAGAGTTCCCAGGACTAGTGTGGACTTTGAAAGTCTTTCAACAGTGTATATAAGAATTCTTTAACCCCTTCAGGGCCCCAAATCCATTAAGATGTCCCTGTTCCTGCCAGTAAACTGTGGCCAAGAAAAGGAAAGTTTTCCTTTGTAAGGATGGACGTGGCAGTTGGCGGAAATGTGAGCCCTTAGTTTCTCATTGAAGACCTGTGAAGAGTTCTTAGGTTGGGTTAACGCTAGGCCAATGGCTTTGGGAAAGACCTATGTGACACAGGAAGGGGTACCCACCAACACTATGAATGTCAATATCCAACGAATTAGCATGATCCAGATCCAGGTCAGCCCCAAGCGGGTATCTGGCTGCCTTGAGGTATTTGGGGTTGTCACACTAACCGGAGGTGCTCTTGGCATCTGGAGAGTGGAGACCAGGGGTGCTTAATGCTCTCCAGCACTCGGGCCCCAGAGAAAGACCTGGGTTTGTTCTCACAGTCCTGTGACGGTGTTCTTCTTTGAGATCCCCAAATGATTTCATTCACCCCCTTCACCTCTGCAGCAGGCCGTAGGGACTGGTAACAGCCTAGTGAAAGGCAAACCCGGACCACCTGCATGGACTGAATCATGTCTCTACTCAAGGAACAAGCCTTTCCTTTCACTCACAGAATGAAGGTTGACATGCTGCCCCTGGGGAAGGTTCGGGCACACAGTCACTGCACTCAGGTCCTGACCTGAGAGGGATTAGGGTGCCTTTAACAAAGGAAAGGGCTCGGTAAAGTGGGCACCACCCCCATCTCTCACAGGGCTTGCCCGTGTTTCAGGGCTCGCTCTGCTATCAGCACACACCCCCATCTCTCACAGGGCTTGCCCGTGTTTCAGTGCTCGCTCTGCTATCAGCACACCCTCCATCTCTCACAGGGCTTGCCCGTGTTTCAGTGCTCACTCTGCTATCAGCACATTGCTTCCTGGCTCTGGATTCCTTTGGGCTACAGGGCAGCTAAGGACATGTTGGAACCACAGAGCATATAAAGATCTGAAGGTGACAGCCTGGACCACATACAGTATGAGACTGCCAAGGTTGATACTTGTCTTCTAAAACTGGGGCTGTGTTCTCAGTCAGGACAGAGGAGGAAAAGCCTGCACTGGGGGCGCAGCTGTCCTGCTGAGAGGGAAGAGGTGCTCTGTGTAGGGTGGGTGCCAGTGGGTTCTTATCAAGGACATTCATTCAGGAGGGATTGGCATTCACTGACCCACCCAGAGAATAGGCTCTAGAGCTGAATTTCTTTCTCGAAGATGTTTGACAGACTTATCCCGAGGTCCTCCTCAGTGGCACACCAAGGAAGGCCTTACACCGATATCATTAACATACAGCAGTGACACCTCAGTGCCAGCTGCTAAGGACTGCATGTGATAGAAACCTACGATCCCTCTGCCACTCGGAATTCCAGGGCCTTGTTATTTTTCCCGATTGCCACGAACCCCAAGTGTGAGGCACTGCCCCGCCCTGCTCGCCTCCTTTCATTCTTGTCCCTGAAAGGCGCCCTGTGCGGAAGGCAGGGTAGAGTTGTGCAGGGCTGCCTGGGCTCTCCCTGGCACCAGTGTATTGCTTCTGGGCTCTAGGGAGCAAAGGGAGACAGCTAGACCCGCCCACTTATTCTGCTGTGGGGGACAGGGAGCTGGCTCTGTCTTGCTCAACATCAGGGAACCTCCTTAAAAAGGTCACCTGAGTTGGGTGTGGTGCTCACCTCCGTAATCCCAGTACTCGGGAGGCTGAGCAGGAGGATTGCTGTGAGTTCAAGGCTAGCCTGAGCTATATAGTGAATTCCAGGCCAGCCTGGGATACAGTGTGAGACTATGTCTCAAACAAAACAAGAAGGAAAAGGAGGAGGAGGGGGAGGAGGAAGAGGAGGAAGAGGAAGAGGGGGAGGAAGAAGAAGAAGAAGAGGAGGAAGAGGAGGAGGAGAGAAGGCAGGAGCAGAGGAAAAGGAAGAGGAGGAGGAGGGGAGGATAGGAGGAGGGGGAGGACGGAAAGGAAGAGGAGGAGGAGGGAGAGGAGAGAGAGGAAAAGTGGTTTCCTGAAGAGCTGGGGACTCAGTGGTAGAGCACTTTCCTCACATGTGCAAGGCCAAGGTTGGGTTCTCCAGCACCAAAAAAATAAAAAAATTAAAAAAATTAAAAAAAAAGTCACCTGGAATTATGGCCACGTTCTTATCTCCCCAAAGCCACCCACAGGTGTAGGTCTGCTCAAATGACTCACACGCCCCAGGAAGGTGACTGGCCCAGCCTTTCTGCTCCATTCTTACTCCAGGGTTTCGGGTTTCTTTCTTCCACAAGACAACCAAATACCTGGGACCACCACCGCCACCGCCCCTGACCAAGGCTACCCGTGGCTTCCTGGGCCCAGAAAGGCAGAGGCTCCTCCATGTTCTTCCCTTTGAAGTACCTGTTTCTCCCTTCCAGAGCTGTGGCTGTGGCCAAAGCTGTAGGAAAGGGAAAACCAAAGCTGCCGGGGGTCCTGTAGCTGCCCCGAGGGCTCTAGATGGAGCCGCGAGCTGCAGACCACTTAGCAGGAAAAGAGTCTAGAGAGGCCAAAGCTATGCCTGCGCAATGAAGATGGCCCCGGGGCCAGTGTGGAGGCTGCGCAGTGCTGAGTGGCTCCTGGTGACGTCGGAGTATTTGAGGAAACAAGGGACTTCGAGAAAGAATTCTGAGGTAGGACTGGCGGGTCTGTGCAGCCCAGTAGTGGGTACTTGGGAACTGGTGCAGGGCCTGAGCACAGAGTCGGAGGAGGAAGCACAGTTGGGGTCGGCGTGCAGGTACGTCTGATAAAAACAGCCCAGCAGACAGGCAAGTCATTGCTCTGTGTAAAATGAACCGCCCAACGAGATGAATCCTTTCCAAGGGACTGAGCAAGGTTGCCGCCAGGCAGAGCTGGGGACTGCAGGAGACAGGAAGTGAGCACACAGGGCCTGAAGGCAGGATGGTGACTCTGTGTGGAGCTCCCAAGCAAGGGCAGTGCTCCTGGGGAGAAGGAAGACTCAGCTGCGTCCCAGGGAACCCTGGATCATGTGGAAAGAGAAGTTGTAGGGTGTCGCCGTCTAGTTTCAGCCTTTCCCTGTGGGGTCTCCTCTGTCTCATCATGACAGAGCAGCCCCTGTTACCACCAGGGTCGCTTCTTGGGTTCTTGATGCTTCAAAGAGGGCATTGGGTGAAGCCGTAAGGACTTACTGCCATGCAAGGTCTTCCTGTGCTCAAGGCCCAGCCCAGGAAGGCAGTGCAGATTTATGTCCGTCAATTTCTGTGGAAGCAGATTTTAGAAAAAGTCACTGTGCAAAGATGTGTCGCTGTCTTGGATTCCAGTGTTCCAGTGTTTCCATTCTTAACTAAGATAAGAACTGGATGAATACAATGTAATTGTGTGTGTGTGTGTGTGTGTGTGTGTGTGAGAGAGAGAGAGAGAGAGAGAGAGAGAGAGAGAGAGAGAGAGAGAGATCGACAGCACATGGGTAATAATACAGACCCTAAGGAAGCTTTTCTGAAGGGTCCTAGCAGATTATTAATGACTAATATCCCTTCCGAATTAGTTTGCAGTGTATTGAAAACCACACATCCCAGAGGCTCGAGGTCAGTTTCTCCCTGCAGAGGTGACAAGCTCCCAGCCTGGGACTCCAGAAGGAGCAGAGTCCTAGCAATGGGTTACACGCAGGCATGGAGTAACATCACAGCGCCTATCCATCCTGGGTTACCAGTCTCAGAGTCTGCCTTCCTCTCTCTCTCTCCAGAAAAAAAATAAAAAATAAAAAATAAGAGGAAACCAAAGTTTTCAAACAGATGTCAGAAAACATAAGCCACAAACAAAAGGTGTCCATCCGGAGCACGGTCTTGAGGGCACCCTGGAGGCCATAGCACTGTGGCATGGAGGTGAAAGGCCACTCCTGACATAGGCGGCCACAGTATGGTCGTGTGGCTCGCATCTCATTCATTCTCAATTCCCCCTAGAAAGTATCTTCAGATGTCCGCTGGCTGCTGGCACCCAGGACTTTCTGTTATGCCCTGGTCCTCCGTGAGGTCCTCCATCGCGGCCAGCTAGGCAGCGGGAGCCACCAGGTTAGTTGCCTGACAGCTTTGGCCGTCCTAGGTTTGTTGGCACCTCCAGTCCTGTATGCAGAGTGACCTGGAAAAGATGAAACCAGAAGAGATTGGCTCGGTGGCAGAGAGCTTGCGCAGTATGCACAAGATCCTGGGTCCCGCCCCCAACACAGGAGGAAGAGCCAGGAGACGGAGGAGATACAGGAGGGGGCGGGGAGGGGGGCAGGAGAGGCTGTCCTTAGCACGGAGCACCGAGGCAGCACCGCGACCACATGCCGGAGAGCTCGTGCTGCGGATTTTATTACTCATCTGTCCTCCTCACATTGCTAGGGCCCATGGTGCCTTGTGCTTTCCTGCCTCCTAATGGGAGCTACTGTGATGAACAGCCGGGTTCCCTGCTTGGCTAGAGTCACGGAGCAGAGAGGCTCTGCTTCTCGAAGCTGAGTCTCTGTGCCTGCTGCTGTCTCTTCCAACTCACACTGTGATCCTCAAATCCCCCTTTTCAAGTAACCAACGCTGGACTGTTGTGGGACCAGTTGCAGGGCAGTAGATATATAGCAGGTCCCTTGATAGCTCCAGGGACAGAAGGAATCTGTTAGAAGCAAAGGATGCCCAATCTGGCCTATGTCAGGAGCGCCTGTGCCATCCATTCCCCTGGGGCACTGAGACCTTGCTCTTCCCAGGAGCCCCACGGAGCCCGTTTGCTCCAAGCGATCACGGAGAAAGTAAGTATGGTACTTAGGACCCCCAACCACAAACACACACACGATGCTCAGAGGCTAGCAGGCAGACTGCCTATCCGATGAACGAGATGGCCAGTTCTCATTACAGTACTCGTTCGTTGTTCAGGAAGCAGAGAAGTGGCCGGGACTGGGTAGGCCAGCTGTGGCTCTGTGGGTACCTGCACGTTTCGGTTGAGGCTGAGGGCAGGCATGAAGACCCCATCCATGTGGCTGAAGGCTGTGGGGCCCTGCTGTTGCCCATTGATGAAGAAGGTCAGAGTGTGCTTGTTCAGGTCCAGCAGGACGCCCACAGTGGCCCCCTTGCATACACCGCCCTCGGTCCTGGGAAGATAAGCCAGGAAAACCTGTCACCATACCCAGATCATGGTGTGACAGTAACTCAGGACACCCCAGAGGATGTTGAGAACACCTTCATTCAAAACTAGCCTCTAAGTGTGTGTGCACGTGTGTGTGTGTGTGTATGTGTGAGCCACAAGAGCAGACAGCCCTAAAGGACCAAGGCTACTAACCCCCTTCTTATCCACAGCATCTGAGACTTACACACCAGGGAATGGGATTATGGCTAAGTGGATACCCCCTGAAACCACAGGGTTCCAAGCAAGGGCACAGAAGAGACCTAACTAATGTAGTAGTTTGTAGTCCTGTGATGATCCTGAGCCAGGTGGAGCTGCAGAGACCAAGGCCCAGGGACATTTGAAAGGACATGTCCCTTCAGTTCCCTTGCCCAGAACCATCCCACGGAACCGACAGCATGTGGTGGAGAGGCATGCAGAACTGGGAATCAGGGTCTCTGTCTCAGTCAGCACTCCATGGGTGACCACTCCAGTTTTTGGAACGCTTGACGAATGTCGGGACTGTGGCATTTCTGGGATGGTAAAAATCTGTCTTTGAGTGGGGAGGAACTTTAAGTAAAGGACCTGGGAGACTTTGCCTTGAACCCTCTGTGCCCTTCAGCAGACTTTCCCTTCATTAACTAAGGGCTCCCTTGACATTACCTTGCTCAGTCCTGGAAGGAAACTGAGTCTTTGCTTGGAATTTAGCCAGGGGCATAGGTGAGAAGTGATACTGACATGAATTCTTTAGTAGGACCTGGTGGGTTGACCAGGAGCATGCTGCTCCTCAGGAGAGCAGGTGTCCTGGAGGTACCTTAGGGCCAGGTGGAGAAGCGGCCAAGACTGGGCAGTTGGTGCAATTCTAATGCTGGCCACCAGGTGGCGGAGTGACAAGTCTGACCTGCCAGCTTTCTTATGAACCCCACCCCCACCCCACCCCCCACCCCCAGGATCAAGGTCAGGTTTGGGAGCAGGGTCTGGCTTCTGAGGAAGCTTTTGCCCCACCCCCACCCCTCCCCGCATTGGAGACATGGGAGCAGTGCAAACAGATGTAGGTCCTCCCTCTGCTGTCTTTTGGCCCTTCTGTTTCTTATGGTCCTTTATTGGGAAGCCAAGGGGCTGGCTGGCAAGGACTCCAGAGCATTTGGGGAATATGGCAGCTTCTGCCCTGGGTATTGAGGGGTTTCCATCATAGTGTCCTCCATTGGGATCCCCTCTGAATCCCACGGCGCCTTTCATTCTCCCCATGTCTGAGTGAAGTCCCGCCTGTCTAACCCTGCCTCGTAGCCTGCCACAGAAACAGGGCTTTTGTAAAAAATTGAGGGTGCTCGGGTTGCTTCCACGCATCCTACTGTATTGAGCACCCAGTGCATGCTTGAGTTTATTACTGCCGCCATCAGAGGGTCTAGGTACTGGGCTTGCTTGTTCAAGCACACAGGCATGGAACTGGTAGGCCAGGGTGATCTTGGACCCTTTGTGGGTAGAGGTGGAGAGAGGTCACCTGGTAGAAGTAAATCCATATCACCTGGTCCGCCTACATCATCTGGTCAGCCTTATCACTTAGTCCACAGTACCTGGCCAGACTATTTTATTTGGTTAACCTGCAGTGCCTGGTAAGTTCTATGGGACAGCTTGTGAGTCTAGCTGCTGCTCCTCCCATAATCCTTTGGAGCAGAGGATGTTACGAGTGACAAGACAGTGGTCAGGTATGGACCTGAGGGTCCTCAGGCAAGTTCCTGGCCAAACTAGACCTAGCTTTCCTGGGAGAGAAGCTGGGTTATTCGTTGTGAAGAAAGCAGTCAGAGCTGCTTGGAAGAGCAGCAAGAACACAGGAGCCCTGGGGGTAGACCGACCCTGCCGGGAGCCCAGTGAAGTCAGCTCCTTGAGACTAGGGTTCTGTCATTCCCTGGCCAGTGCCAGGGTCATTCCAGGCAAACCAGCAGCCATGACAATGACTTCTGCTCCCTCTGCGGGAAACAAATATCCCATTAGCTCTGTGCAGTGAGTCGGGCTTAGCTCGATGGCTGCAGGGAAAACTGGAATGAGACCAGTAAGAAAACCACAAATTAAGCTCTCAGCAGAAAGCCTCTGTGAGGCCAGCTGGGGGCCGGAGGGGGGCCAGAGAGCCACCGTGCCAGAACTGCACTCCGCCCCATCAAAGTACTTTCAGTTATGCCACAGGCAAATGGTTGGGTTCACTTCTCCCAGTCTTTCTCTAACCCCCTCCTTGGAACTACAGAACAAAGTGCCTAGAAACTGCTCCTCTCCCAACATCTGAGGACAAGACGCTTGTCCCCACCCCTGAATCCGTGGAGGGCAGGGGTCACGCACCTGTTGGTGTGGGAGTTACAGTGCATGAACCAGCTGCGGTTGTTGTCCACGTACATGGCCCAGGCTTTGTCGTCCTTGCCCAGCATCATGTCCTTGACCACAGTGGCCCTGGCCACCCCGAAGGCTGGGTCCGGGTGGTTGTCATACCGGTCCACGTGCAGCTCCCAGTAGTGTACGCCTTTGGAGAATGCGGCTGTGCCCAGCACCACTCGGTCATCGTAGCTGCTGCAGGTGGCTGTCTGGTTGTCATTAGATAAGATGATGTCCCGATGGCCAGAGTTGGGGTCAAAAGTGAACCAGGCCACTGGAAAGGAAGAAGTCACAAAGAACAGGCTCAAGAAACTCTCCATTTCCTCTTCCCCTCTCCCCTCCATCTTTCTCCCAACACAACCTAAATTTTTCTGTAGAGCCAAGGTGACGGACGGACTTACTTCTGTCAGAGTCGATTCATTGAGGCCAGTGTTCCATGTGGAATACACACGCACTCACACACTCACATTACACACACACTCACACACTCACATATACACAGTCACACTTCGTGCTGATTAGTTTTTGTCAACTTGACGGAAATCTGGGAAGAGGGAATCTAGATTCAGAAAATGCCTCTATAAGATTTGCCCATAGGCAAGTCTAGGAGGGTATTGTCCTGACTCATGATTGATGGGGGATGGGGAGCCCAGTCCACTGTGGGCGGTGTCACCCCTAGGCAGGTGATGCTGAGTTATATTAGAAAGCAGGCTGAGCAAGCAGTGAGGAGCAAGCCGGTAAGCAGCACCCCTCCATGGCTTCTAAGCCAGTAAGCAGCCCTCCATGGCCTCTGTCTCAGTTCCTGCCCTGACTTCTGTCAGTGATGTTGTGTGAGGTAAGATTGTAAGATGAAATAAATCCTTTCCTCCCCAGGTTGATTTTGGTCATAGTCTTTCTTTGTCACAGCAATAGAAGCACCTCTCTCTCTCTCTCTCTCTCTCTGTCTCTCTCTCTCTCTCTCTCTGCTCTACACAGTTTCCCTTCCATAGATCCAGCCTTGCTAAGGAGCACAGACAGGCAGGCCGATTGGCCTGACAGCCAGGTTCATTCCCTGGAGCTCTGACTCCTACTCTCTCCCCAGACGGTCCTGGCACTGTTAGAAGTGACAGAGGAAGTGGCTATTCGCTCACCTTGTAAGCAGGAGGATTGAAACACAAAGAGGGGGCACAAGGTGGCCAAGGACACAAATCTTAAGCACCATTGAATGGTGGCTCAGGCTTCTTCCCACCCCGCCCCTACCCCCCAGGATGGCACTGCTGAGGAGCGCTCACCATCAGAGGTCTGCAGGACCACAGTCTTGCTGTAGGGCCCAACACCGGAGGAGTTGAAGGCTTTGACTCTGGCATTGTAGGTGCTGTTAAAGTGAAGCCCGTCGATGGTGCACAGTGTCTCCTTGCCAACATACACTTCCTGAAAGAGCAAGGACACTTACTCAGCCTCAGAGCTTCCAGAAGTTCCCCTGAGGTAAATATCAACAGCATCAAGTGCCCTCACACCAACTGGAGTACCAGATGAGAGAAGTTTCAACCTGTGCTGCTTACCCTCCTGGGGCCTGGGCTTTGCACAGTCCTCTCAAATCGCCGGCCCCTCTGTCTCAGGGGAACCAGGAGGATGGAGCTGCAGGGGTGAAGCTCTCCTAGGATGTTCCCTGAAAGCTCTCTGCCTCCACCATCAGACTGCCAGAAGCCAAGGGGACACCTGCAGAGCCTCCTGCCCCTGAGACCAGCATCTTCTGCTCCTTAACCCTGTCTCTGCTGGCTTCTGGTTCTCTAAGATGGTGTGAACCTTGATTTTCACTTTCTAGGGTTTTACTTCATTCCCCACTCACTTCCGGGCTCCCTCTGTTCTACTAAGTCCCAGTATGTGTTGGCTTGTTCTAACAAGATGTTACTCTGTAGCCCAGGCTGGCCTCAAACCCTCAATTCTTCTGCCTTAGCCTCTCAGTGCTGGGATTCTAGGCAGGAGCCACCACACCTGTCTAGCGTCCCTTTTTGTGTGTCTTCTGGAACCAGCAGCTTGCCATGTTTTGGGAGAACCCAGAGACCACCTTCTACTGCAGAACCATGTGCTGCCAAGACAGGAAACCTGCCCAACCATCCTAGTGTCAAAGCCAGAAACCCAGATTTAAAAATCCCCCAGAAAAGGATTGTGTGGATTAAAGGTGATGTGAGAAAGCTCAGGAAAGAATTGTGTGGGAGGAAGGTGTGGTGTGGGCTAGCCTGTGCAAAGAGTACGCATGTAGGCGGTGCCCTCTCTGAGTTGCCAGTCCACACAGACTCTTCTCCCTCAGACTGTGGCCACAACCACTGCTATCTCCCAAGGAAGAGCCTAGGTTGACAGACTCTCTTTGTCTTTGTAGTCAAGGTGCTTGTCTTAGGACAGCAGCCTCACAGGCCTCCCTGGAAACCACCCCTGACCAGCAGCCGCTAGCTCACCCGGAACTGCCCTCCGTCGCCGTCATCCAGCTCCAGGATGTAGCCGTCGGCAGGGCTGTGGGTGAAGGGCGGAGTCCTCCAGGCCAGGGTGACACTGTTGTTCCGGGTGCAGCACTTCTCCAGCTGCAGCAGGGGTACAGGTGGCACTGGGACAGAGATCATTCTGGTCAGCACAGAGAATCCCTCCTACAGGTCCCAGGCCACCCCAACCCATGAAAACCCTAGGGACCTGTACCCCCGAGGAAGTCCTCCTTTCTATCTTCCCACCAAGAGCCCTGGGGTTGGCCCCTGGGCCTTGTGGCACACCAAGTGACCTCAGCATGGTCCATACTACCTGTGTACAGCCACCTGTGTGGGCTCAGATGGCAGATGGCAGGAAATCAAGTGAGAGTCAGCCCATAGCTCACACTTGAGCTGGAAACGGAGGTGCTTGGCCCCTCGAAGGCCCGTGTGTGTATATAGTATTACTATAATGGTGTGGGTTCCTTCCCGGCTTAGACAACTTATGTTCCCGGATGAAAGACAAGACACACACACACACACACACAGCCTTTATATTTTGATATGCCTTAAACAGCACAATAGCTGGGCTACTGCCTAAGTAAGCTCCATGCTGTTAGAATCTACCTCCCGCCGACGATAACTCGGAGTTACTACTTACTAATTTCTATGTTCCATCTTGGCTGCTCTTCACCCAGTTGAGCAGCCCTCTGGGCCCCATTCTCTGGGCCCCTTCATATGGCGGCTCTACGTCTCCCTCCTGCACATTCTTATGCTTCTGTGGCCGCTATCTTCTCTCCTCTCTAGCACACGCTACTGAGGCATGGTGGCAACCTCTGCCCTGAACACTCCTAAGGCATGGAGTCTCTTCTCTCCTCTTCCTCTCGGTCCCAAGATTGGGAACCCTAAATCACGCTTCTGTCTCTCCTCCACAGCTCCTCCTGGGTGCTGGCATCTTAATTTACCAATCAGAATTAACTGAGGGCAGGTTCCCAGAAGCTACCCTCTCCTGCAAGCAGTTTTTGGGGATCCAATTAGCATTAGATTTTTTTCTTTTTCTCCCCCCCGCCTCTTTTTTTTTTTTTTTTTTGGTTTTTTTGAGACAAGGTTTCTCTGTGTAGCCCTGGCTGTCCTGGAACTCACTCTGTAGACCAGGCTGGCCTCGAACTCAGAAATCCGCCTGCCTCTGCCTCCCAAGTGCTGGGATTAAAGGCATGTGCCATCACTGCCCAGCTAGTGGTAAAGCCTTTAAGAGGTGGGGACTAATGGTCACATTGGTGCTGTGCACCAATGTCAAGGAGATGGTGAGAGCCTGGCTGTTTCCTCTTTCTCCTTCCGTGAGGGGCTGGGCTCTGCCATAACATGCTCACCAAAGCAACAGGACAGTCACAGACTAACACCCCCAAAATCTTTCATCTTGTATAAGTCAATCATCTCAGGTGTGACAGAAAGGTCACAGGAAGGGAGGAACAAAGCACACAGGGAGTTGGAACCTTGATGGTAGCTTTGCAAGATCAGAGGACTAGACCATGGTGCCAGGCATGACCTCAGAGGGTTGGGCAGCCAACCCATGGGCTAAGGAATCGAATCAGGCATGCTCTGAGCTCACTAGAGCCGAACAGGAGAACCTATATACATTCCAGTTCTGCGTAGGCTCAGGAGGGTCTAAACAGAGACATGGGCCACTCTGATCTATCTGATTTAGAAGGAAAACCAGCCAAAACTTAGTCTAAACCTGCAAGGCTCATCTTCACTCAGAATGAACTTATTGTCTCTTCAGGGCTAGCTGATGCCCAGGAAGGTGAGTCTGTGTCAAGGGCATGTAACTGCTTCAGCTTATCCCTCCCTCTACTTGGCTGAAGGAGACCCTTGCCACCACTTATTCCTCCCACACCCTAAAATTCAGACCTATACTCCCAAGATTCTTGCCTCAGAGCCCCCAATTTCCAGGACTAGCTTCTCCAGCCACAGCTCCCCACCCCCTTTGCCAGGCACTGGCTCCTTGTAACTGTGTCTCACTTACACCCGGGCAGGTGGAATTTCCAAACCTTGTCCAGGTGCAAGTTGAATAGGAGTGAGCCTCAGGATGGCCCTGAAGTCAGCGACATGGTCGTCCCCCTGCCACCACAGCACTGCCTGCCTTCCCTTCTGAATGAGCGCTGGGTATCTTGGGGAAGATGGTGCCTAGGACAGAAGCCCAGGTCTGGCCATCCATCCATTCATTGTAAGCTCTGGGATCAGCCAAGCTGTTCAAGTATCACTGACCTTGGCTGTGGGTCCCTATTGGCTCCCCGAGCCCAGCTCCCACC